TCTCTCGAGCTGCAGTTCTCCTCAGCATTGTATACTTCTACTCTTCCTTTAGTCGGTTTATCATGGTAATGGGAGCCATGCTGCTGGTTTATTTGTGAGTGACGGATATTAACTGTTTGTGGTTTCTTTTAGTTACTTCTGAAACAGTTTATCACAGATTATAGCATAATGTAGTCAGTCAGAAACACTGAATGAAGGACTTTTAATATTGTTGAGTATCTAGCATGTTCATGCTAACCAAAAGCAATTGCAGAGATAATGTATAAGAATATTTATCAGATATGTTTAAAAGCAGAGTATTTGTTTATTGTATTTTATATGAATTGTTAATTCAATGATTCACAGACTTTCAGTTATTTAGAAGGCAAGTAAATGCTTTCATGGGGATGTTCTTTTAAGTTATATTTATCAATAGTAAGTCATTGACTTAGAAACGTAAGTCACACTCTTTTTCTTAAGTACATTGATTTTTTTTTTCCTAGCCTTGCCTTTTCTCTAAGAGGCAAAGGAATATATCTAGTTATATTTCAATTTGAAAAAGCTCCAAAAGATTTTGTGTTTTAATATGTCACTTTGAGTCAGTTACGTCCAAGATAGGCTTTGAATTTGAATTGGGTTTTGTTTTTCTGTTAATTACTTTGAGAAATCCACTGGCTTGAAGTAAGATCCTTGTTTTTAATCATTTATAACAACATCCGCAGTAGTTTTTTCCTGAGCGACATAAGCTTATTGTATTTCAAATACAAGTGATTGTGGCTTATTTTCTCTCTTTATTTTGCTGAACAGACACCAGGCTGGATGGTTCCCTTTCAGGCAAGAAGGTGGTCAGCAACAGGTTCCTAACAATGTTGACGTTAACAACGATGGGCAGAATGCAAACAATCTAGAACTTGAAGAAATGGTAGGTTATTGACGTTTGTGTGGATTTTATAGGTAGATAGTCCTTAGTCCTGTATGGGACAGAAATTATGATGGACTCTTAGATGTTCCACAAATACCCATGGAAGGCACACAAAGAAAAGCTAACATAGAAACTGTTGTGGTTACATCTGGGGAATTTAGCTTTTAATACTGAGTCAGTCATATCTTGTTAGAATAAGTGGGAAGGATTAGCATCTCTTTAAAAATAATCTCCAAAGAAAATTGTGCCTGGATGAGAATTTCTTATATTGGCAGTTATTTACACAACACAGAACTTATTAATTTTAGACTTTACAAAGATTTCTAATTGCCCTGGATCTGTCATTTTTCCTACACACTTAGATGTCTTCTTGCTATAGAAAGTATTTAGCTCTCCCTCTGCTGTAAGTTGGTGTTTGTGGTACCAGTTACTCAGGAATGTGCTTATGTTGTTTGAAAGGAGCGTCTTATGGATGATGGACTTGAAGACGAGAGTGGAGAAGATGCAGGTGAAGATGCCAGTGCAGTTCAAAGGCCCGGCTTGATGGCTTCAGCTTGGTCTTTTATCACCACCTTTTTTACTTCACTAATACCAGAGGGGCCTCCCCAAGTTGCCAATTAGACCTGAAAAACTGTGCCAGCTGCAAAGGAGGGTTTGACTTTAGGAAAGTGGTTTAAATAACAGTGCAATTTCAAAAAAAAAAAAAAGAAAATGTATAACTTTCTTTTGATCATGTACAGAGGTCTTTTCTTTAAGCTTCTCACGCATATGAATATTTTAAGCACAAATGGACTACTAAGCGTGTGATTTTTTTTGTTTGTTTGTCTAAAGATCCTAACAGAACATAGCATAAACAGTACTGGTCTTCCAGTTTTATTCATTTCAATTATGTGTAGTTTACCAAGCAGAACCACTATGTGTTGTTTCTTTAAAGAGCTGCTAAACCTTTAAATGTCCACAGCTAGACGGCCAGCCCTTCAGTGTGTACTTTGAATAAATATATCTATTTTCTGTGAATTATCCTGAAAGTTTTAAACAGAAATGACCTCATAGTTTTTAATAAAGAAGTTTATTTACCTAAAACGTGCTAGTAGCATCTTGCCCACCCATAAAGCAATAAACTTCTCAAAAATCTTAATTTTGACATTTGAATAAATGATGGAAACTTTCTATTTTAAGGACACATGTCACATCAGGTGGAATTAGTATCCTAAAAGAAAAAAAAGGCAGCTCTTCATTGGAATTAAGTGATACAAAATGTTTGATATGGCAGTACTTTTATAAAATATGCTGGAAATTGCTCCCTGTAATTTTTTAAATAAAAAGTCAATTATGATAAATAGCCTTATGGGATGGATATTTATTCAAGTTCTTCAATACTAGTTGTCCTACAGAAGTATCTTTAAATTTCACAAGTGTTTGGAAGGGTTAATGTCTTTCTGGTCAGTTTGGTCTTCTTTCATTCTAAAGGGAACCTCTTAGTTTCCAGGCAGTCTTGATACTCCTTGGGTTTGAATTAAGGCACCTACAGGATAGTGGCAGAAGAATGCAGAGCTATTGACTCTTGATCAGTTTATTTCCTTCTGTTGGGAGCTAGAGAGAGAAGTGCTGTGGAATCTATTGAGGTTGCAGCATTTTTGGGGTACTGTTGTCAGGGTGTTGTAGTTACAGGGGACACTACTGGGGGAAATGAGCAGCTGTCTTGTGTGTCTGCCCAGGCAGAGCCTCAAGAGGAAGATGCTGGTCAGATTTGCCTTGAGAGAGGTACGCCTGCATTCTAGGAATGGTAAATGTGTTGTTATTTTTAATTATTTTCTCCATGTTGTTAATTTCCTCATGTCAGATTTTCCAGTAAGTCTTGATTAAAAAAAAAATAAAAAAATAACTAGTCATGTCAAGCTGTGTTTTGGAGGGGCCTATATGGTGCCAAATGGCCATGGTGCTTAAAGATGGTTTTCAGATAGCAAAAGAGGCTATACCGAAGTTCAGAAACTGGTCAGAAGCCAAGTGATGACTAGTGACAACCAGGATGTGTTTTTCTAGGGTGCTTCCAGGGACTTTTTATATTCTTTACACTTGACAGAAGGGATTACATTTTCCCTGTTAAAGGTTTTATGTGTGGGCAAAGGAAGAGTGACTCAGGGGCTGCAGAGTTGAAGATATTTGCTCCACTGTTTGATCCACAGCTCAATATACTAACTAGTTTCTCTGGGTCTGCCACCATTTCACTACTAAAATTAGACATTTCCAGGTAGTGGGTTTTAGACCACTTTTGGATCCGTAATTGTGTAGTTCAGTGACAGGATTTTTTTTTTTTTTTTTTTTTTTTTTTTTTTTTTTTGTGTCAGTTAAGCCTTGATTCCACCTCAAATTTTAGTAGACTGTGGTGAGGCAGCCACCAGTCTGTTGAATCTTGAATGGTGGCACTGTAGCTGCAAAACTGGACCAGGCTCTGGCAAGTGGGTTCTTCACTAGCAGGTTGTCTGGGAAGCCAGTGGGGCCAGCTGGCTCACTCCACAGCTGAAAGGGCCAGCCTTGCAGACGCAAAGTGGTGGCAACTTCTGTGTAGTGGGTACAAAGCACATTTATTGACTTCGCTCTCTCTCTCTCTCTCTCTCTCTCTCTCACACACACACACACACACACACACACACACACACACACACACACATTATGCTTTGGATGTTCCAATATTTAGACATTTAGAAACATTTATGCAGAACAGGAATCCATGACAATGCTTCCTGAATGTGTCTGTTATGGAGCAGTGCAAGCCTTTTCTTAAAGGTTCCCATAGAGCCTGTGAGAGCTGTCCTCCCAAAGAGAGCAGAGCCATCACTCTGTGGTTTGAGCTTTCGGGCTTATTTCCTAGCCCGGACTCTTAGGAAGGAATCTTTGCCCAGCACAGTGAGGCTCAGCCCTAATGAAGACTCATCTCTTCCTATAGCAACCCCCCCATGGGTGCAGCTGTCTTTGCTCTATACTTCTGGGTACATCCCAGAGGTACCCGTCTTGGGGACCAGTTTGGAAGTCATCCTGTCAAAAGGCCACTGCTGAGTTCTGACTCTTCCTCTAACTGACCTGCTTTACAAAATGAGCATGTCACTCCCTGCACACACTGTTTTCTGAGTATGTGCAACAGCTAAAGCCTGAGCGAGCCAAGGCTGCAGAAGAGGCAGGTGAGGAAATTGGACATGCATGGTCTTCACCAGTCACCCTTCTCATGGAAGAAGCACAGAAGAGGCTTTTGGGCCATCTTGGCCACTTACCTAGTGAAAAAGAGAATCAGCTGGAATGCTTTAGGGACAAGATCTCCTGAGCAAATTGGGAGCATGAGGAGAGGGGAGAGGGAGCTAGGAGAATGAGAAGGGGAGAAGAGGAGGGGTGAGGAAGACATGAGGGAGCAGAAAGTTTGAGTCAGGGGAAGAATAGAGGAGAGCAAGATAAGAGATACCTTAATAGAGGGAGACATTATAGGTTTAAAGAGAAACCAGGAGCTAGGGAAATGTCTGGAAATCTACAACGATGACACCAACTAACAATCTAAGCAACACTGGAGAGGCTACCTTAAATGCCCTCCCCCGATAATGAGATTGATGACTAATTCATATGCCATCCTAGAGCCTTCATCCAGCAGCTGATGGAAGTAGAAGCAGACACCCACAGCTAAACACTGAACTGAACTGGAATCCAGTTGCAGGGAAGGAGGAGTGATGAGCAAAGGGGTCCAGATCAGGCTGGTGAAACCCACGGAAACAGCTGACCTGAACAAGGGGCGCTCTTGGTCCTCAGACTGATAGCTGGGAAGCCAGCATGGGAATGATCCAGACCCCAGGAACATGGGTGTCAGTGAGGAGACCTCGGATATCTATGGGGCCCCTTGTAGTACATCAGTACTTATCCCTAGCATAGGAATGGACTTTGGGAGCCCATCCCATATAGAGGGATACTCCCTGAGCCTAGACACACGGGGTGGGCCTAGGCCCTATCCCAAAGGATATGACAGACTCTGAAGACCTCCTATGGAAAGCCTCACCCTCCCTGGGAAGCAGAAAGGGCATGGGATAGGTAGGGTGTTAGTTGGGGGGGCAGGGAAGGATGGGAGGGAGAGGAAACTGGGATTGACATGTAAAACAATCTTGTTTCTTATTCAAATAAAAAATGGAGGAAAAAGTATAAAAGAAAAAAGTGAACTTTCATATGCTTAATTATTGAAGTGAAAGCTTTTAGTTTGCACCATTAAATATATTTATTGAGGATTATGGAGTAGATAAACACATTATTTTATTCTTGTGTAATAGATTGACTTTTGAAAACTAGTCATTTAAAAAGTGCTTGTGAGAAAAACTGATAATTGCAAATACAAGGTTTATAGCGAAAAAAATCTAAAAAATAAATAAAAAATAAAAACTATTGCTGATGTTCAAGCATATGCCATATTCCTTCTGTTCAAGTTATGTTTTCATTGTTGTGATAAGAACTACGACCAAAAGCAACTTGGGGAGAAAAAGATTTATTTATTTTTTTTTATTAAAACTTAGTTTATCATGAAGGGAAGTCAGGGCAGGACCTCAAGGCTGGAAACTGGAGGCAGGAACTGAAACAGAGATTATGGAGGATGCCTGCTTACTGGCTTGCTCCCCATGGCATGGCATGCTCAACTTTCTTATACCACACAGGATCACCTGCCCTGGGTTGGCCCTGCCCACAATTGGCTGGGTGCTTCCAAATAAATCACTAATCAAGGGAATACCCTGCAGACTTGCCTGCAGGTAGTCTGATTGAGGCTTTTTCTCAGTTGAGGTTTCTATTCCCAGATAACTGACTAGCTTGTGTGGAGTTGACAAAATACTAACCAGCACACCTGCTCTATAAAAAGCTGGTAGTAGGTTCCTATGATCCCAGTGCTGTAGAGGTGGAGACAGATTCCTGGGGCTCACTTGACAGCTAGCCGCAACATTAGTGAACCCAAGGTCCCCAGTGAGAGAACCTGCCTTAAAAACCAGGTAGATGACTCTTGAGGTTAGCATCTAGCCACCACATGCTTGTGTGCACACACTTGCACGCAAACATGAAAGCATACGCTAATGACAACAGTGGCGTGTTTCGATTTCTGTAGTGTTTTCTAAAGGAGTGAAAGAATAATAGAATATGACACAAACAACTCAAAAGAACAGCTAAAAGCAAGACATAGGAAAACAACCAATAGAAACAAAGAGGAAACGAGTTTGATAGCCGAAGCAGCCATCCCTACATCGAGCACATGTGAACTAAGTTTAAAGACCGTGTTAGTCTGGATAAAGAACCAGACAGAATGATGCTACCAACACCAATTTAATGTAAGGGTACAGAAAAAAGGGTGAGGAAAGACCTACCAAACAAGCAAGAGCTGGACAGAAGCTGGAGTGTTCAGCACACAGGTAGACCTGGTAAGAAGCACATAAGAACACACAGCATGCTAGCTAACTGGGCTGCTTTGCAAGCACAGGGGAATGCTGTCCTGTCTGGCCTCGAGCTGGTCAGAGGAGCCAGACTCAGTATGTGGGAGAAGAGAGAGGGTGAGGCTGAAGGAGGAGCTAGTTTCCAAAACAAGCCAATTGGTGTCATGGTCCCTGCTCCCACTCACAGGGTGGTTCCCAGAAGTCAGTTTGGCTATTTTTGGCAAATCTCATGAAGTGTTCTCTGAAGGTTTTAGTTTAGAAAAGGATATAGAGCAGTTGTTCTCAACCTTCCTAATACTGCAACCCTTTAAACAGTTTCTCATGTTGTGATGATCCCCAGCCATAAAATTATTTTCATTGCTATTTTATAACTGTAATATTGCCACTGTTGTCAACTGTAATATAAATATCTGATGTGCAGGATATCTGATATGCTACCCCACAGGTTGAGAACCACTGGTATAGAGGATGAGAAGGAATTCATGCTTCTTGGGGCCTACTACGGATTAAGCACTTATGAGTTTGTAGGAAAAGAAAAGTTAAGTATTAGAAATGGCCAGGAACCGAAGAACAAAGCACAGTAAAAGGAGAGGAGGGGTTGTGAGACCCCAGAGCTTTTCCCTGGTGAATCTGGTTCATCACACTGGAAAGTTAGAGCACACTTGGTAAGTCTTTGTGTATTGCTTCTTGAAGATTGTGACCCTGTTACACTCCCAATGATGCGAAGGAACCGCAAGGGGTAGATGACTGCACTGTGTTACTCTGAACACTAGGTGGTGATGTAGCACCACATAGCTCTGTGCTATTGACTTTTTTTTTTTTTTTTTTTCCAGCTCTTGGGGACCCCGATGGGAAGGATGCTACCTTACCTTAGCACAAGAAAGCATGTAAGAGAGGAAATTCTTGACCTTGGTAATATGGTCTTGATGTAAAACTCCAGGAATGTTGACGACCATGGTTGCTAGTTACACCTGTTTCTATCGAGGTCTGATGAGCCAGCCACCTTAGGTATTCACCCGCTCAGAGGGTTCTGTGAATGAGGTGGGGGGATATCTAGATAGCTGAGATATCTAGAAGCTTGGTGCTGTGGAAGGTGTTCAGAGATAAGAGATTTAAATGTTCCATTTATCTATAAGCCTTGGTGGGGGTGGGAGGTTGGGGAGATGCAGTCCTGCTCCTACCAGTTGTGTTCCCACCCTCCTCCATCTGCTCAGAGGGTTTACTGGTGACTGCAGAGTCTTCCTGCAATTCTTCCTTTTTTCAGGCTCCTCCCAGACACCCTGGGAACTAACTGCAGAGATGCTTTGAAGGGAGCCACTCTGGGGGTTTTGATGGTTTGATCTCTTAGAAGGATCCTCTCTTTGAGAGACAAAGGCTGGGGATGTGCCCTGTCAGTGAGGAGCCAGGGCCACTAAGTGCAGCTTGGGTGATGCATGCTGTGGAACAACTGTTAACAATTGCATAGAGCCTACAGCTTAGCTAGTCATGATGCTCCAATGTACAAATCATGCTTTTGACTACTGCACTATGGCTGTCTTCAGTATTAGCATTTGAAAAGATGGGTAAACCGTATACAGGATTTTTTTCAATACTGTTTTTTTGTAATGTTCTGTAAATCTGAAATTATTTCAAGCTTGGAAGTAGCATAAAATTTTACTTTTCCATGGTTATAGAATATTTTAGATAAACATAAAAACAGGGAAAATGGAGGTGACCCTTGAACCGGTGATCCAAAGGTGCTGGTTTGGAGATGGGGCACACCCGAAATGAAATGCTTTTTGAGAAGTTGCCCAATTATTGAGGATGTAGAGTTAGTTCCTGATGGTGGAACTGGAGCATTGTTTCCTAAGCAAGAGCCATTTAAATATTGGACAACAACCTCTGCAATTGCACAAATCTAGTCACATGTTAAGCGTTTACTTCATGAGACTCCAGCCCAGGCCATATGCCCCACTTAGCAGTTCTCTAGGGAAATTTTTGTTTTTTTCCTAATTTCATAATACAGGGATTTAGTCACTATTGCCTAAAATGAAAAGATCTAAATCAAGATGGTCTTAATTGCTAAATGCTGTTTTTTTTTTTTCATCATTCTTTAGCTCTTAAGATCTGTACTTAAAAATTTGAAGGTTTTAGAAAAGTTACAGTGAAGTTACAAAAATAGTAGGATCATGCCGGGTGTTAGTGGCACATGCCTTTAATCCCAGCACCCAGGAGGCAGAGGCAGGTGGATCTTTGTGAGTTCGAGGCCAGCCCGGTCTACAGTGCCAGCGCCAGGATAGGCTCCAAAGCTACACACACACACACACACACACACACACACACACACCACAAAAAAAAAAAAAAAAAAAAAAAAAAAAAAACCCTGTCTTGAAAATCCAAGAAAAAACAAAAAACAAAAATAGTAGGCTCCTATCTGACCTGCTCCTGTTATCCTCACATTAGTTTGGGACATTTGTTGTAGCTAATAAACCAATTTTGATACGTTATTTTAAAACTATAGCTTATACTTTCTCAGACATCCTTGATCTTGAATGGATGTCTCATTTTTTTGTTCCAGAATCCTTTCCATGTTCTGATAATTTTCCTTCTCTTGACTATTTAGTCTATTTACAGCTTCAAAACTATCAGGGCATTTTGGTTTTGAAGACCTTGTCCATTTTGAGAGTTATGGGCCAGGTATTTTATGAGTTGTTCTTCCATTTTGAATTGCGCTAACCCCATGAGTAACTGGGGTTATGTGCTTTTAGGAAGATACCAGAAGCTAAGTGCCATTTTCATTATGTTTTGAGGCACATGCCATCAGCATGACTTAGCACTGTTGATACTGATTGGATTACTTCACTGAAGTAGTCCGTACTTCCCTGGGAAGCTCTTCTTACCTTCTTGTCACAGGGGCTCTTTGGAAACTGAAGGACTGGGTAAGTGTTCTCCACTCTGAGTAGTGTGTCTACATACATCATTAGAAATTCTCCCTCATGGAGGCTCTTTACCTGGTCATTTATTGGTGTCTCCTGTTTACCTGGTCATTTATTGGTGTCAGCTGGGATTTATTCTACTTATTTGTACTTTGGGTTTTAACCCAATTCCTGCTTTGTTTTGTTGTTAAATCCCCTCCAGCTTTCCCTATAGGAGCTCTTTCTGAGAGGTCTAAACTTCCTCCATTTCACAAGCAGGGTCTAAGTTTCAGTTTTTTAAAGCAAAGTACTATTAATCAAAACATCCCTGATGACAGAGAGAAAGCACAAGCAAAGCCTGAGTCAGCCCCACAATGTCTCAAGGACAGTTCCTGCACACCTTGAAACTTACCTAAGTATGTCCAAAGATAGAACCTCAGCCAATGACCTAACCATCCCTGAAATTCCCCCTAGCTGTGCTTAAAAGGAGTCTGCATGCTTCTGTCTGGGTCATTGCCGTTTTATACAGGTGTTCGGCCCCAGCATGCTGGTATAGGAATAAACATTCTTTTCTCTTACATACTATTTAAGTCTGGGGTCTTCCTTCAGCATTTTCTTGGACCCTTAAATTTCAATGGACTCCTGCATTCACTGAGATGCCCCACCACTGGGCATTTTCTTCTGGACACTTCCTCATGTCCTAGAGCTTCAGGCTCCTCTTGGGTGTTTTCTCCTCCAGTACTTAGAATCTGCCATTTCCATAGTGAGCTGGGATCCCCTCTAGTGCTGGGACCCTGTCTAGCTTGGATCTATCTGTGCAGGTCTTGTGCATGCTTCCACAGCCTCTGTGAGTTCATGCGTGCATCAGTCCTGTTGTGTCCAAAAAAAAAAAAAAAAAAAAAAAAAAAGTTTCCTTGGAGTCATCCATCATCCATGGCTCTTAGAATCTTTCCACCTCTTCTTTGGTATCAATCTCTGAGCACTGAGGGAGGGCGTTTGGTGAAGACATCTCATTTAGGACTGGATTCTCCGAAGTCTTTCACTCTTTGCATATTGTCCTGATGTTTGTCTCTCTCTTAATTTCCATCTACTTGCAAGAAACTTCTCTGATGTGGGTTGAGTGAGGCACTGATCTATGGGTATAGGAGTCATTTTTTTTTCCTGCTGTGTTCCTTTAGCAGAATAATAATATTAGGTTTTCCCTAGACCTGTGATCTATCAGTCTCAGATTCTCGGCCACATTAGCAGTGTCAGGTACGGGTTTCATCTCATATAGTGGGCCTTAATCCAATTTAAAAAAAGTGTTACTCCATAACATTTATGCCACTAATGCACCAGTATATCTTGCAGGCAGGTCATTGTTGTAGGTCTCAGTGTTTATAGTTGGGTGATATTGATGATTATTTTTCTTCTCAGGTAATGTGCAGAGTACCTTGCAACCGTGTTCAATGATATAAACAAGTACTGTCTTCAGAAATAGCGCCTTACCATCAGATTTTGGAAAGCCACCAACAGCCTTGACAATAATCTGTGATTTTTGTCAGGGAGGTTCCATGAGCCACCTATGGCTAATAACTCTACAAGATGTAACTTTCCCGGCACTGAAGGTTTTGCATGGTGGTATAGTATGTCTAATTGGAGCATCGTCTCTCCTATTATTTGGTGACTTCATTTAGATTTCTTTCATAAGTGAATATATTTTAGGAAGTTTCTATAGTGGTAGATCTTCTTATGTGTAGGGACTGGTGTTGGCTCAGGTCCCCGAAGACCCTGTTCTCAGCACAAAGGAGATTTATTTGCACCAGAGGGATGGGGGCAGAGAATAAGAGACAAAGACAGGAGCTAGAGGATAAGGGAGAGTGGGTAGGAAACAAGGGAGAGGGAAAGGGGTATTTGTCCCAGAGAGGCATGACAAAGGATGGCCTCTACACAGAGAGGAACAGACATGGCCCATCGGCAAGTAGTGGTTTATATAGGTAAAAGGAGAAACCCTGCATTAAGATGAGGTGTTTAATTTTAATTGGACATGTTAATGAGGTGAGCCAAAAGAGGTTTTTTGATTGCTGGACTTCAATACTTTGATCACTAGACCTTGATAGTCAGTCTAGGGAGTAACCTTTTTGGATAGCTTTAGGAATGTAATCTAAGGGTTTTTAGTAAGGCTGAGGTATTAGGGGAGAAGGGCAAGGAAGGCCTGCCAGAGCCATGTTTGCCATGCTTGGGCTGGCCAGAGTCCCCTCGATATTGTTTTTCAAAAAAGGGTTTTTGGTTTTCCTTTCCCTTTTATCCCCCCCCCCCCCCCCCCCCCCCCCCGTGCTGGCTAGTCTTATGTCAACTTGACACAAACTAGAATTATCTGAAAGGAGGGAAACTTAATTGAGAAAATCATTCCATAGGATCCAACTAACTGTAAGGCATTTTCTTAATTAGTTATTGATTGGAGAGGGCCCAGTCATTGTGGGTAGATCCATCCCTGGGCAGGTGGTCTTGGGTTCCATCAGAAGCAGGCTGAACAAGCCATGGAAAGAAAGCCAGTGGGCAGCACCCTCCTTAGTCTCTGCATCAGCTCCTGCCTCCAGGTTCCTGCCCTGTTTAAGTTCCTGTCCTGACTTCCTTCAGTGACAACAGCAATGTGGAAGTGTAAGCCTAATAAACCCTTTCCTCACCCCCTCCACCCTGACCTCTGCTAAGAGCCCTCTTCCAGTGGCTGATGGAAGCAGAGGCAGACACCCACAGCGAAACACTGAAATGAACTCTGGAACCCAGTTGCTAAGAGGGAGGAGTGAAGAGCAGAGAGGTCGGAACCAGGCTGGTGAAACCCACAGAAACAGCTGACCTGAACAAGGGGGAGCTCATGAACCCCAGACTGATGTCTGGGAGTCCAGCATGGGATCCCCTCAACGTGGATGTCAATGAGGAGGCCCCAGCACTTCATGGGACCCCTGGTAGTGGATCAGTATTTATCCCTGGTGTAAGAAGGGACTTTGGGAGCCCATCCCACATGGAGGGATGCTCTCTCAGCCTGGGCACATGGGGGAGGGCCTAGGCCCTGCCCAGGATGATTTGACTGACTTTGGGGAAGCCCCAAGGAGGGCCTTACCCTTCCAGGGGAGCACAGGGGGGATGAGGTGGAGGGCTGGTGGGACCCTCCTTAGTCTCTGCATCAGCTCCTGCCTCCAGGTTCCTGCCCTGTTTAAGTTCCTGTCCTGACTTCCTTCAGTGACAACAGCAATGTGGAAGTGTAAGCCTAATAAACCCTTTCCTCACCCCCTCCACCCTGACCTCTGCTAAGAGCCCTCTTCCAGTGGCTGATGGAAGCAGAGGCAGACACCCACAGCGAAACACTGAAATGAACTCTGGAACCCAGTTGCTAAGAGGGAGGAGTGAAGAGCAGAGAGGTCGGAACCAGGCTGGTGAAACCCACAGAAACAGCTGACCTGAACAAGGGGGAGCTCATGAACCCCAGACTGATGTCTGGGAGTCCAGCATGGGATCCCCTCAACGTGGATGTCAATGAGGAGGCCCCAGCACTTCATGGGACCCCTGGTAGTGGATCAGTATTTATCCCTGGTGTAAGAAGGGACTTTGGGAGCCCATCCCACATGGAGGGATGCTCTCTCAGCCTGGGCACATGGGGGAGGGCCTAGGCCCTGCCCAGGATGATTTGACTGACTTTGGGGAAGCCCCAAGGAGGGCCTTACCCTTCCAGGGGAGCACAGGGGGGATGAGGTGGAGGGCTGGTGGGAGGTTGGGGGGAGGGGAGGAAGAGGGAGAAGGGATTGACATGTGAAGCAGCCTTGTTTCTAATTTGAACTAATAAAAAAAAATAATCTCTTGGGAAAAAAAGGTTAGAGAAAATGTTTTTAAAAACTACTTGTGATTATTGCCAATACTTATAGCTATAAGATTTATCACAATAAAACTTTATAAAACAAACAAAAGATAGTTCAGAGGCTAAAGATGTTTACTGCCAAATCTCATCACCTGAGTTTCATTCCAAGGACCCACAAGGAGGAAGGAGAGAACCAACTCTTAAAAGTTTTCCTCTAACCCACACACACACACACACACACACACACACACACACAATTAATTAATTAAATCAAAATAAAGAAGAATAGCACCTTAAAAGGGGCAATTTCCACTCCACCTCTGGAAGCATAATTCTAGGCTAATTTCTTTCATCAATTAAAAAAAATCTTCAAAAAAATAAACCCTTTTCTCCCCAACTTGTTTTTTGGTTATGGTGTTTTGTTACAGCAATAGAAACCCTAACTAAGACAGACCCTCTCCCCATTTAGTCCTCTAATTCTAGTTTCCCTTTTATCTCTTCATAACCCTGTATTCTATTTCCTCCTCCTTGAGACATTTCTCCTCTGGCTCCTTACTAGATACCTAGCTCTGTGGTTATATAGATTATAGCACACATATCCAAAACTTAAGAGCTAACAATCACATATAAAACATGTAATATGTACCTTTTTGTGTCTGTTTTACCTACCTGGGGAAGTTTTTTTTTATTGTTAGCTTCATCCATTTATCTGTGAATTTCATAATTTCCTTTTTATTAACAGATGAGTAATATTCTATTGTGTAAATGTCCCACATTTTCTTTATTTATTCATCAATTGATGATATCTAGGCTATTTAAAATTTCTGGCTATTATGAGTAGAGCATCAGTGAACATGGACAAACCAGTTGTCTCTGCAGTAGGATGTAGAACCTGTGGGTCTATGTTGAAGAATGGTATAGTTGGTTCTTGAGGTAGATTGGTTTCCAGCTTCCTGAGGAACCATCACACTGATTTCCATAGTAATTGGACCAGGCGATCCATATGGGGGAGAGTTGAAGGGATTGACCATGTTGATGGTGAAGGGGGACCCCAGAATGACTTCCAGAAGCAGACAAAGAAGGTAGCATCTGCACACCCACTCCAAGTACCACCCACTCCAAGATGCTGCCTCAGTACCATACTTAAACATGAGGATGAAGTGCTTTGATGAAACTCGTCCATGTTATTAGCACTTGACTTGTCAATGATTTACTAGTCATATCCTTACTTTCTTTTTGGTACTTGGCTTGGATTAATTTTGAATAGCTTTTGAGGGCCTACAGAGAATCCCTGTGAACTTAAAATGCAAAGTATTTTCTTCCCTCTGATGGACATGTTCTGTTAGGTGCCCCGATGTAGATGCCTATTGTTTCCAAGGCTCACTCATGGCTTGCCTAATGAGATCCCTGAAAGGGCTTGTAAATCCTCAAGGAAGCTGAAGCCAGGCTGTCACTCAGACAGCTGGTCATCTTATGGTTTTTATAATTTTATGGCACTCTTATAATAGTGCCAATATTTTCTTCCTGCATAGATACGTGCTTCTTAGCCACATTTTAAAATCTGTACAGACAAGCCATGGAGTGCTAACACAAGAGGCAGGAATGAGTTATCTCTTAGGGAAATGGGGCACTGTGACAGTGGTTATGTGTGATGGGAAGTTCTGTGCGAGGGTAGGGCCGCATTCCCAGCCTCTTCAGGGTAAAGGTGATGGCCTGCAGCAGTTCTTCCCAATAAAGAAGAGATATGTTCTCTTTGAAAAGGGAAATTAGAGCAGTGAATGTTCTCTCTGCTTTTTCTTATTTGTCCTATTTCAATAGAATTTTAAATTCTAAGGTGGTAGAATTATAAGATAGTGAACCAGTGTCTTCAGTTACTACTACCAGAGCTGTGAAGAATGTGTGTCTGTGTATAGTCTGTTCCACCTTCTGTGGTTTCTGTTACTATATCCTGAAAGTATTAAATGGAAATGTCCCCAAATGAACAAAGTGTAAGTTTTGAGCTGTGCACTGTTCTGTGTTGTTATTGCACTACCAGCTTAGAGGGACCTGACAGTGCCTGTTGCCATCTTTCCCACATCATCTCATCATGCAGACACTGTGTCAGCACATGTCAGCACATAGGTTAGGCAAGTACAGTCCACTAGAACATTCTGAGCAAGCACAGCCACAGAACTTCCATTGCAGCATATATGATAATCACTTTGTTTTATTTTATTTTTTTTTGAGACAGGGTTTCTCTGTATTACTTTGGAGGCTGTCCTGGAACTCGCTCTGTAGACCAGGCTGGCCTCGAACTCACAGAGGCCTGGCTCTGCCTCCTGAGTGCTGGAATTACAGGAGTGTGCCACCACTGCCGGGCTCACTTTGTTTTATTAGTCATATGGATGCATCTTGACATGACCACAGGCTTATTGATTCATCACTGCCAAGATTGCCCTTGAGTAGTCCTAGCCTGCTTCCCTACATAGCTGTGCAGCAAAAGATAAAACTTTATGTAAATTCTTGGAGTCGTATGTGGCCTTTACCATCAGATACTTTATCCAGGGATCTATTTCTCCCTTTCATATTATCTTAAGATAACTGGGATGATATAGTTACTTTTGTCTAATCCATAAATACATCTCTCTGATTCACATTTTGGGAATTCAGCTGGTTTTGTTGCACCTAGGACCACACTTCGGTCATTCCCCAGGACATTTTTTATTCTGTATAATTCCAGATCTGTCTGCCTCTCTTCTGTGTTGCTGGAGTTTCTTTCCAGTGAGGTTTCTATTCTGCCTGGTCCCAAAGCCAATTAGCCCCAAATAAACACACAAAGACATATTAATTTATCAATTATTGGCTGATGACTTAAGCTTCTTATTAGCTTTGTCTTAATTATTAACCCATTTCTATTAATCTATGTATTGCCACAAGGCTGTGGCTTACCAGTAATCTCCTGCATGTTATTACTTGGGCAGCATGGTGTCTCTTCATGGCCCCTCTGCTTCCTCTCCCAAGTCTTCTCTTGGTCTGGTAGACCTGCCTATACTTTCTGCCTGGCTATTGAGCAATCAGTGTTTTATTCATCAACCAATAAGATAAACATATATACCGAAGGACATCCCCCATCACTTCTGCCATTAATGTGGGACCACTCTTTAAACATTAGGACCCAGCTAAAAATGGCTTCATGTTATCCACTGTTTCAGATATCCATTAGACTTTGTGGAGTGTATCTCCCACATAAAAAGGAGAGCCTCATAAATGTTTGCATATGCTTTAAATTTATTAGCATACATTTTTTTAGACTTCAGCACTATTTTTTAAATTTTTTTTATTAGTTCAAATTAGGAACAAGCTTACTTCACATGTCAATCCCTTCTCCCTCTGTCCCAGCACTATTTTTTTTATTATTTTTGCATATGAATGGGTT